ACGACAATGTCTGGCATCACTTGGGGATTAGATGGGATAATACAATGGGCAGTATGGACATCCTGATAGACGGCACACCGTGGTATATAAATGACAATATACGAAAAGATAACGTCATTCCAATTGGAGGGAAATTTGTCATAGGACAGCAATATATAGCTTCTGGCTTCGAACCTAAATCAGGATTTCTTGGTCAACTAAGTGGTATGAATTTTTGGAATACATCGTTCCCAGGAGAAATGTTAGAGTCGATGGCTCAGTTAGCAGTGCATTTAGAAGGAAATATATTGAGATGGTCCAATGTCCTTGGTAATATTTTTGGCGATGTACAAGTGGTTAAGCCATCAAATGCTGTTAACACAAGTAAGTACCTTTTTAATACGCATGTTGTATGTGTGGGAAAATAAGTTAATACGTCACAGGGTGGTGTGGACAACAGTGAATCGTGAAATGGATGGCATGGGGAACAGTGGGACCTTCAACACAATGGAAAATGAAAGATTTCGATCATGACTGGATGGCATGGAGAACAGTAGGATTTTCAAAAACAATGAAAAGACAATGGAACATTCCGATCACTGGATCATGACTGGATGGCATGGAGAACAGTAGGATTTTCAAAAACAATGAAAAGACAATGGAACATTCCGATCACTGGATCATGACTGGATGGCATGGAGAACAGTAGGATTTTCAAAAACAATGAAAAGACAATGGAACATTCCGATCACTGGATCATGACTGGATGGCATGGAGAACAGTAGGATTTTCAAAAACAATGAAAAGACAATGGAACATTCCGATCACTGGATCATGACTGGATGGCATGGAGAACAGTAGGATTTTCAAAAACAATGAAAAGACAATGGAACATTCCGATCACTGGATCATGACTGGATGGCATGGAGAACAGTAGGATTTTCAAAAACAATGAAAAGACAATGGAACATTCCGATCACTGGATCATGACTGGATGGCATGGAGAACAGTAGGATTTTCAAAAACAATGAAAAGACAATGGAACATTCCGATCACTGGATCATGACTGGATGGCATGGAGAACAGTAGGATTTTCAAAAACAATGAAAAGACAATGGAACATTCCGATCACTGGATCATGACTGGATG